CCAACGGGAGCCTTCGCACCTCATCGGTCTCTAATGAGAGGTTTTTTTGAAATAGTGATTTTTATTAAGAATAAAGCTAAATACGTTATCTTTTCCTAGAAATGGAAGTTGGGGGGTGGGGGTCAGCGCCGCCTTTTTTCTGAGCAAACGCCCAGGTGGAAACCCTGTCTGGAAGCTGGGATGAGGCGATGCTGACCACAGCTCCTTACCACACTCCAGCAAGGACGAACGCCACGCTCTTCCCCTGTGTTACCGAACCCCGCCCTCCTCGTGGGGAACAAGGCTTCACCTGCAGATTTACTTGATCATAATCACCCTCCTCAGAGGCGCCAGAGGAGTCCCTGCGCTCTCACAGCCTCTGAGGACAGTCCTGGTATCTCAGAGCTACACCAGTGACTAAGATCTCCTAACCCGACCTTTCTCCAAACTAAACAAAAGGTTTCATCCATGCCTTGTACAGAAGGAGGTGAGAGTGTGTTGGCTATTCTGTTCAGCTGGGGGAGGTTCAGCCGTGCAGTGGGTAGAATGGGGAGCCCAGATTCACATCCTACATCCTGCACCCCGTACCCTGGGTCCCCTGCCTTCCCTCCCCTGGTATCCTTGAGCATGTGTGAAGCAGGAGAATGGTGTGCAGCTGCTGTGGCTACCACAGCAACACTTGAGGCACCAAGGCTGGCAGAGGCGATGTTGCCAGTGACGTTATTTCCTGTGCCATTCATTACCCAGCAGACACGGTTCCTTGGTTAGGGTGTTGGGGGCCCCAAGGAGAAAAGGCCCCTATTGCTCCCAAACTCACTTCTCCCTCACGGCGTCTCCTCCAACCCTGACACCCTTCCCTGAGTCTCATCCTTGTCTTCCTGGGGGTTTTGGGGAGAGCCAAGTTCTGGGCAAGTGTCTCCCAAGATTGTCTCTAAGAACAGATCATCAAAACAAGGACTGCCTGTACCTCAAAGAGACACACGGGGGCCCTGGATTTCAAGCATTTTACAGTGTTCCACTGGGCAGGACCCAAATTGATTGCTCCAGAACATCTGTTACCAAGGACCGGCAGCTGTGAGCATCCCGTGCCTCTCCAAGTCCCTGGCACAAATTAACTTTGACCAAGAATGAAATAATAGTGGAAAGGTCAGGACAAATTGCCTTTTGAATTTGTGCCTGTTGGGAAGAAGTGCTTTCTCTCTTGGAATGACTCCTATTGAAGACGAAATACTTTATTCCCGAAGGCTCTAGGGGTTTGCTTGTTTGTTTGTTTGTTTGTTTGTTTGTTTGTTTGTTTGCTTGTTTGTCTGTCTGTCTGTGGTGCTGGGGGTGGGAGCGTTGCAGAGAGCCGCCACCTGGACACTCCCCACCCCTATCAGTACTCATCACATTTTCCAGGTTAGACTTCGGGCACAGAACAAAACCAGGAGCATCCTAAAAGCTGAGCAGGGAGGGCCATCTCAAGAGATCACAATGTGTAATGACAGAGAGCCACACCCTTTCCACATTGGTCCCGGGGGGGGGGGTGGGGTGGGGGGGCTGTTTGACAGACAGGAGACCAGAACAGCCATGTCACTTATGTGTTGCCAAGCGTGGACAGCTCTTCACGGGTCATGAGAAAGCACTTCGAGAGCACAATGCGTTCCGCAAATGCAGAACCACAGAATCCTGACGATGCCAGTCCGGTCCGGGGTAGAATAGAGCAGTGGGGCACCCACACTTGAAAGCGAAGCTCTTGCCCAGGTCGACCCACTGTGTCTTGACTATTAGAGGCCCAGTGGGAAGGGCCGTGTGTCGTGTCAGAATATCCCCGCGCCCGGCTTCTGAGAAACGGGTCCACCACTGCTACCGACTCAGGATAAGAAACAACCAACAGGGCCGGGGAGATAGTTCAGAAAATCAAGAGCGTGAGGACCTGAGTTAGGATCCCCGGAACCCGCATAAAGAGGGACAAGGTGGCACACATCTGTAATTTCAGTGTTGCTGTTACAGCAAGATGGGAGACAGAAGCTGGAAGTGTGTGGGTCAGCTGTCCCCGGCCCATGCAGCAGCGAGCAAGACCTGGCCGGCAAGGCGGAGCGTGTGGACTGATAGTTGAGCTTGCTCTCTGGCCCACGATCTCAGCCAGGTTCTTTCTGCTCTCCCGGTTATTCTGCACGAGTGATTGACAAGAGGGGCTTCCTAATGGAGGGCCCAACATCGTCAACGTCCAAGAAACCGAAAGGGCTTCTCAGGGGAAGACCAAGCCTCATTACTCAACTTCCTTCAGCCACGTGTGACTCCAGGTCAACTCAATAACATTCTGTTTGGAAAAGGTTAACAGAGAAGTGGACCCAGTGCGAAGAGCTGTCTTAGTTAACGGGAATGACTAAGAGCCTGACTCTCGGGCCCGCGCCTGTGAGTTAGATCCAATTCAATCGGAACATTTCTTGTCACTGAGGCATACAATGGACACAGCAGATAAATGAGCTGGTTGAGGGTCACAGCCACCACCTCCAACAGGCCCCATTATCAGCTCCATTAGCCCAACAAATGTTTGGGTGAACTACAGCAGAGATGTGATTTGAACAGATAGTCAGCCTGCAGAGGATTTACACCCATCGGCCCGTTAATTGAATAATATGTCAACATAACAAAATGTTTGCCTCTTGCCTTCTCGGGGGAGGCCAACGCTCCCCTGGGCTCAGCGTTCCGTTTTCCCAGATTCCTCGTAACAGGCAAAGGAGGCTGGGCCCTGCAGACCAGTTTCGTTATCATTAACACGGTACTGTCTGGTTCTGTTGAAAACTGGGAAGAGGCAGAGTGGCTTGAGATCAGGAAGCAGGAAGAATATGGACGGTGACCAGATAATTAGTTGGAAATAAAAAAAAAAAAAAAAAACGATAGTGACAGACCAACAGGCAAGTTCAAATACATGTTCCTCGTTAGGCAAACACAACTCTGAACAATGCCTTCCAGCAGCCAAACCCTCACAAGGCACCGGGAGGGACCATCACCGGGGGGTTGTTACTCTTAAGGGCTGAAGTCACTAAGACAGACAGAGAAGAGGGGGACAGACGGCCTGAAAACTGACCGCAGAAGAGCGGTCCTCGAGAGCGTCTCTCCCTAACTTGACTCTCCTGCTGACGTCCCTCAGCCTTAGAATGTCGGGGCTTTGTGAGCTCAACTGTATACACCACCACTTCTCCTTCGAAAGAAAGCATGACCAACGACGACGACGAAGACCGTGGGAAAACAGAGGTGTCGGTACAGGGAAGCGAAGGCCCCGGGCACTGTGGTTGGTGTGCGCCCCAGGGTGAGAGTGCGGAGGAAAAGCCCAGCTAGGGTTCAAAATACCAAGAAAAAAAAAAAGAGAGATGAGCAGACGGACCTTCCTAAATTTAGTCATCGTCTATCCCCCTCCCCCACAGAACTCCCCATGAGTTGTGATTTATTGGTTTTATATATAGAAACCATACATATTTAAGATTCCCTGCCCCTCAACGGGGTGGGGGCAGAGGAAAGGGAGGAGAGAATGAAGAGGAGCTTTTTCTTGTCCCCCAGAGGGAGGGTTTTCAGCTGAAGCTTGAATCTGACTTGGGGAGTCCCGGGTCTTCCCCCTTCCCAATTACTAGAGATTCCAACCAAGTCCCATTTCCAGGGAGCTTCAGATAGGTTAAACTCCAGGAGGGCGTGGACTGACCACAGTCCACTGAGGTCCCCCCCTCATGGCTGGTTTACTCTGTCAGGGAGCAACATACCCCCAAAAAAACAGCAAGGGGCCAAGGCTTGGAAGGGAAGGCAAGCCAAAAATACCCAGCCAGCGCAGCTGTGTGTACAGTATGAATCTTCCCAGCAAACACAGCACAGGGATTTGACGCTCCCTGGATCACGGGGCTCACAAACACACACTTGGAAAAAAAAAAAAACCAATCTGACCATCGCTCAGCAGTGAACGGTTCTTTGGGGGGCTGTGCATGTGGACTGCCTACCTCGCACATGTGAAACCCTGGGTCCCATCCCCAGCACCTCAAAATACTGAAACATGTCTGTTTCCCTTTACATCAAGGTAACATTGGTGCCACATGGGTGTGTCACACTTGGCCGTTTCAACCGGGGAGCAACTTTGGTTTAGATCCTTACAGAATTGCATGGTTCAGGGGATGGCCATAAAGTCAGAGCCGATTTTACTGCCATCTCCGGGGACTGTTGTGCACAGTGTGTGTGTGTGGGGGGGGACCACACCATCTCTGTCCCCCTCCCGGCAACTAACTGGCCGTGGGGTCGGTTAAGAAGAGAGCCCTCAGCCCTGCTCTGGAACCCCGGTGGACCGGTGGGAACGCCCTGGGACAAGTCCAGCCCTAAGAAGCCATCACACCTGGGTAAAAAATCGATAATCAATCCGCGGGGATAAAAGGGCAACTTGGCAGGGAGGGAGTCGCCAGCCAGGGCCAATTCAGCGGGAACCTACAGTCTTGCAAGACCCGGCTGGACTCAAGCAGTTCTGTCATCCTTTCCAGAAAGGGCAGGCCGCCAGGGGTCCAAGTTGAGTTAAGTGGCCCAGGTGAGGGAGCTGGTGACAGAGCTGGGAACGGAAGGTCTTACTTACTGCTGCGGAGCGGCGGGGTGGGGTGGGGGGGACAGGGGGGAAAGGGGGTCCTGCAACCAGCCCGGGACAGCGGGGCAGAGGGGAAGGGAGGGCACTGGAGGGATCGGAGAAGGCGGGAGAGGACCGGAGGGGACGGGAGGGGACGGGAGGGGACGGGAGAGGGCGCGGAGGGCCAGACCCGTACCTGGGCTCCGGCAGGACGACCTTCTTGCTGGCGCGCGCAGCGGGCGCCGCCTTGCTCTTCTCCATGGCCATCAGGTAGCTGACGTCGGCCAGCACGGCCTCCAGGTCCGCCATGGCGGCTCCGCAGCTCCCGCCGCCCCGACGGGGCCACGGCGCGCCCGACGCGCGACCCCGACGCGGACCCCGAACGCACCGCCCCTTCCGCGGCTCCGCGCCCCAAGCCCGGCGGCGCGCCCCCAACCGTCCGCGGCCACGCGCTCCTGACCCAGCCTCTCAGGCACCAGGGACTTCCTCTCCCTCCTCCCCTCCCTCGCCCTCCTCCCTTTCCTCCCTCCCCTTCTCCTCACCCTTAGCTCCCCGGGGCGCAGCCCAGATTGCCCAGGACTCGGGGGACCATGCCAGGAGGGCTCCAATAGCACCCTGTCAACCAGGCACTTCCAGGAGTTACCCTGGAGCGGCCTCACCTGTGTTTTCAGGTGATTGCCAAAACCTGATGGAGGTCAGAGCTACTCCCCGGGGGGTGTCCCCAGCCACTAGCCCCACCCTCGACCTCCCTCTGTGAACCAAGCCAAGAGAAACCGAAATCGTGGAGAAAGTTGCTTGGCTACTGCTGCGCAAGGGTGAAGCGGGGTGAAGAGTCCCGCCCTGGAGCAGAGCTGGCCCTGGGGACCCAGCTGATGAAGCACTCTGGGTTCAAGGTCACAGCCGGCTTGCACTCAGGTGAAAGGCCCCAGGGTACGTGTCCAATGGGGGGCGGGAGGCTTAGGGCATTCTGGCTCCTGCAGGCTGACAACCAACTCAAGGGGCACAAGAGGAAGCGCCTCCTTGAGAGCTCCGCTCAGCCTCCTGGGTTTTCAGGGAAGTAGAACTGAGGCCGAAGAACTGAAGTAGACCCTGGGCAGTAGGGAATTTCCAGGGGCTTGCGCCTTCCATGGTGGTGACCTTTTCACTACCCCCCCCCCAACCCTGCCTGGGTCACTACTTATTTTTCTGCCGCCGGGCACACAGGTCCACACAGAAATCCACTCGGCACCCATTAAGGGCCCAGAGGATCTGATGACATCCTCAGCTGGAAGTGTCTTTACCCAAGCGGTCACTCACAGGGTACAGTGAACCCCCGGTTTGGAGAGAGCTGGAGTCAACGTTCTGTCCTTAGTTGAAGGGGTGATTACGGGTCAAGTTTTGGCTAGTTCTGGGGCTGTCCTTGCAGAAACGGCTTGGGTCTGCCGTCACATGACCAGCTTTTGTTTTCTGACCTCTCTGTTTGCCAACTGACCAGTTTGACCAGAAGTTTCTCCAGCTCCAGCTCCGTGGCACAGCACATAGGGGGAGCAGAAAAGGTGGAGAGGGATGGGAAGGCCCTGAAGAGGAGCTGGGTCTGCCTGCCACACAGCACCGGCATCACCCCATAGCGCCCACTGTGTATGTAAACCAGGCAGAGACAGGCCGAACTTCACCTGGGGCTTTCCACGTCCACCTCTTTTTCACCCAAAAATGGGAACACAGAATGTCTTGTCCACTGGAGGTGGAGGGAGGGGTAAGTTCCCAAAAAGCATGTTGCCTTTTTTTTTTTTTTTTGTCTGAATCACTATAGTTTCTTCCCCAAAGGTTGTGTTTTTAAAGTCATCTGGGGGGTTTTACAAATAAACCACCCTCCGGCCTCACTCATTTTCTTGACCCCTTGTGACCCGAGATGCTTGTTTTTGCTGGGTTCTTTTTCCCAGTAGTGGTGTGTAGTGCGCTAGGAAGCCTTGGTCTCCACTCAATGGCTGGGAGACATCAGAGGTAGCATCTCGGCTCTCTCCTGGCTATGTTTTCACTGATGACCTGGCGACGAGACCAGTTATGACCAGATCTTTTGTGTCCACAGAAGGGGCTCAGACAGCACCTGGAAATGTTCCTTTGGGCTGGGGAGAGGGCTCAGCCTGGAAAGAGCCTGCCACACAAACATGAGGACCTGTGTTCGATCCCCAGACCCCACATAGGATGCGTGGGTCCATGCTTGGAATCCCAGCACTGGGGAGGTGGGGCAGGCAGAGCTGGGGTGGGGGTGGGGCTCACTGGCCAGCCAGCCTAGCTGAATCTGTGAATTCCAGACCATCAAGGGGCCAAGCCTCAGGAAACAAGATGAGTGGGGGGCCAACAAGGTGGCTCAGCAAGTGAGGGTGCTTGCCGCTAAGTGTGATGACCTGAGTTCAGTCCCCAGGTCCCCTGGTGGAAGAAGAGACCTAATGCCTGAAAGGTGACCTCTGCCCTCTGCATGGGTGTGTACATACACAGTAAGTAAGTGTAATTTTTTTAAAAAGTGCCAATTGGGAACAAACAACACCCAAGTTTGTCATCTGGCTGCCCTTTTGAGCACGCACACACACACACACACACACACACACACACACACGTGAGCACACACATGGGCAAGCGCCTTGCCTGACACCTAGCTGGCCCTCCATCAAGATCACCTCCTGCTCTGCTCACTCTCCCTTGCTAGAGAAGATTCCAAACCAGCGACTCACAGTTACAGGCTGAAGCAGGAAGACCCCCCTTACCAAAAATAACATCTCCCTGGGGCATCTCAAAGGAACCAAAAATGGCAAAAGTGATGTCCATTTATAAACACAAGCAATTGCTTTTCCAACAGAAGGAACAGCATGTCCAAAAAAAAAAAAACGTGCCCCTGTTTCTGAGGCCCCTCATCATGTAAGTCAGCTGACCTCACGCCCAGGTACCACTTCTGGAGACAGTATTAGGTGGCCCACTCTGGCTTCCCTCTGCGGACTCCACCTTCCTCCTTCTCGTAGCTGGAACCTTTCGATGTGAAGCAGCTTTTCCTGTTCCCCGAAAACAAAGGGCCTTGATGACAGCGACATGGTTGTCATAACTGAGCCTCTGAGTCCTGTCATTAAACACCAGCACCGCCAGCCTGCAGTCACTAGAAGGATGCAGAAAACAAACCGCCACCCACGTGTGTGCTCGGTGGGTAGGACTCCCTGGCAAACAATCATGGCCCAGCCCCCTCCACCCCCAAAAGGACTGAAGCGCTCAGATGGCAAGCTGCATCTGAGAATTGACAGAACTCCAGGGTTCCCACACAGTTCGCGGTGTGCTCTCTCTCTCTCTCTCTTTTCCACCACAATGCATCATTGGGGGGGTGGGGCGTGGCTGAGAATGGCACACTCGAGTCGCGGCTCCCCCCAACGGTGGCGAGAAGTCTCCGTGGGTAAAGACACTCTGTCAAACCTAAGTTCCATTCCTGAGACCGACATGGTGGGAGTGGAGAAACCGCTGCACGTGTTCCTTGACTCGCACACGTACACACAAGAGAGATTAGTAAGTGTGAAAACATACTTTGGGATCCACCAGATTCTAGCAGCCTCCGAGGGGAAGAGCTGAGGAGGGACGAGCTGGTCTCACTCATCTCGTGGTCGGAGCTTGCTGAGACTGTACACGTGATCCCTGAACGATGAAATGAAGGGGATGATGCAGAATGAAAAATTAGTCGCAAATGGATGGGAGTCAACTTCAGTTGGAAGAGTTTGGACACAGTAGATGTCACACACACACACACACACATCACACTGCTTCCACTGATGCCACCGGCTGGAGAAATCTCTCCAACAGCAGGTCCCCACCTGTAATTCTAGCATTAGGGAGGCAGAGCAGGAGGATGATGGGGCAGGTTTGAGGCCAGCCTGGGCTACACAGGGAGTGTGAGGCCAGCCTGGGCTACATAGTAATACTCTATTTCAGAACACAGAACACAGGGCTAAGGAGATGGTAGGTGAAGGACAAGTTCAAAGACCAGAATTCCTGAAATTCATGGAGAAACGCCACGCATGGATGGCGCGGCATCTGTCTTAACCACAGCCCTGGGAGGCGGATACCGGGTTGGCTGACGGGTCTGTTTAAGCCCTTCGGTGAATGTGAGGTTCAGTTATTCTTCTCAGAATTCAAGGTGGAGAGGACTGAAGAGGACACTAATGTCAACCACTGGCCTACACACACACACACACACACACACACACACACACACACACAGAGAGAGAGAGAGAGAGAGAGAGAGAGAGAGAGAGAGAGAGAGAGAGAGAG